GGCCGAGCGCCTGGCGGCGCCGCCCGACGCCAGCTCCCTCGTGTGAGCGCCGCGGACGCCGGGTCCCCGGGCTCGCCTTGGGGGGGTCGGGGGGCGCCCCGCGGCACCCAGGGCCGGGGCAGCAAGGTGCCGCGCGGAGGGGGTCCTGGGGACAAGGGGTGCCTGTGCGCAGAGCCGGCCCGTGCGCCCCTATGTGCCCCCCTACACCTGCATCTCATCCCTAGGCACCTGCAGGAGCACCCTCGTGCCCGCTGCACGCGCGGGCGCCGCATGCAGGGGGGCCCGCGGGCCCTACGGCTGCGCCCCGGGCACGTGCACACATCCCTATATCTACAAATACACGGATGTAAGCGCCGCGCACATCCATATATCTATAAATATAGGGATGTCAGCGTGTGCAGACAATATATGTGCACCTATACGGGCCCTCGTGGGCGTGCGGGGGTGTACGGCCCGGTCCCTGCAGCCGCATCCCCCCGCTCCCTCCGTCCGCGCCGCGGGCCGCGCAGGGTCTCGCTCCCCTTCCAGTGCTGTTTGGTTGTTTGGTTTAATTTTCTTTTTTTATGGTTTTTTTTTTTCGATTTTCTTTTTTACATAAAAATTTCCGTAAAAATTGGATAAAGTAAAATGATTTAAGCAGTAAAATCAATCTTATCAACAGAGCCCGAGGCCTGCGGCAAATCCCGAGGCGGCCTCGTCCGGAATATTTACATGATAACAGCGTCAAACCTCGCGGACCGGAACGGAACGGGGCCGGGGAGGGGGGAAGGAGGGAGAAAAAAACAACCCCCAAAACCAAAACTATCCTTACAAAGTGTTCCCGTCGTATCCGCACGTGTCGGGGCTAAAAGCGGGAAAAGGAAAACCCCCCCAAAAAACCAAAAAAACGGAAAAAAAATTATCAATATATTCACATATACGTTAAAATATAATACAGGTGTCGGCGAGGGGGGCGCGGGGCTTCCCCGCGGTGCCCCCGGCTCCGGCGCCCGTCCCTGCCGCGCTCCGTGGGGAACGATTCCTGGTGGGCATCGCCGGGGCACGAGGGGCCCCGCTGGCTCCTCCCTGGCGGTCTCGAGGGGGTTACTCCAAGTCCGTGTCCTCTTTGGGTTTGTAGATGACCCCAAACTTCTGCATGTACTTCTTGATGTACTCCTTGGTTTTGTGCTTGACGTTCTCGTTGCACTCCAGGTCCTCGGGGTTCTTGCAGTACTTGAGCTCCTTGTTCATGACGCCGTGGGTGAGCTGCCGAACGAGAGGCTGGTCAGGGCTTGGCCACCGCCCCGGGTGCTCCTGGCCACCACGGGCCCAGGGCTGGTCGTCACGATGGCCGCTATGGGCCAAGGTGCCGTGCTGGAAGCCATGGGACAAGGTCATGGCCACCACATTGGCCACCGTGGGTCAAGGTTCTGGTCATCATGGGCCAATGTTCTGGTCACCACAGCACAAGGTCCTAGCCCTTGTGGGACAAGGTCTAGACAGTTACCAGGCTGGATACCATGGACTAAGGTCCTGGCCACCATGCTGGCCACCACAGGCCATGGTTCTGGCCACCACAGCACAAGGTCCTGGCCCTTGTGGGTCAAGGTCCTGGCCATGACATTGGCCACCATGGGTTGAGGTCCTCACCCTTGTGGGCCAAGATCCTGGCCACCATGCTGGCCACCATGGGTTGAGGTCCTCACCCTTGTGGGCCAAGGTCCTGGCCACCAGGAGACAAGATCCTGGCCACCATGCTGGCCACCATGGGTTGAGGTCCTCACCCTTGTGGGCCAAAATCCTGGCCACCATGCTGGCCACCATGGGCTGAGGACCTCGCCCTTGTGGGCCAAGGTCCTGGCCACCATGGGCTGAGATCCTGGCTCCCATCCCAGCTGCCCAAGGTCCCGGGCACTGCGGGCTGAGGTCCTGGCTACCATGCCAGCCATCACGGGCCAAGGTCCTAGTCCCCACACCGGCCACTATGGACTGAGATCAGGGCCACCATGGGACAAGGTTCTGGCAGCCCACCACTATGGGCTGAAATCCAGGGTCAAGGGCCTGGCACCGGGCTGGCCACCATGGACCGAGGTCCCAGCTGCCACAAGGAGAGGTCCTGACCATCAGAGGTGAGGTTCTAGCCACCATACCGACCACTATGCGCTGGCGCCCACATCAGCTATCTCATCGTGGGCTGAGATCCTGGCCACCACGCCAGCCTCTCCGGGGCCACACTGAGCAGGGCAGAGAGGCCACTCGTGCCGGGGACGCCCTTACCTTGCGCGCCAAGTGCTTGAAGTCCTCGGTGGTGGTGATCCTGCCCACCTTGCAGTCGGGCTTGCGGTAGGGGTTCAGGCACTGCACGATGAACTGCGACATCTGCGGAGAGGACGGGAGGTGTCAGCGGGGCCCGGGGCACCCCCGGGAGCCCACGGACACCAGGGCCCCCGTGCCCAACCCCGGCCACACTCACTTCTTTCCTGAAGACCTCCTTGCTCTTCTTGGCCAGCTCGCTCGACGTGTCCGCTTCCGCCGTCTTGGGCTTCTTGGAAGACTGCATTGGTGGCGGGGGGGGGAAAAGAAGGAAAAGGGGGTAGAAAAATAATCCATGGGCTGCTCTTATTGTGGGGAGCGCAGGCAGTGAGCACCCGCAGGTGCCCGTGTCGCCTACCTACATGCAAGGGCCACCACCTCCACCCAAGGGCCACCACCTCCATCCAAGGGCCACCAGCTCCATCCAAGGGCCACCACCTCCACCCAAGGGCCACCACCTCCATGCAAGGGCCACCACCTCCATGCAAGGGCCACCAGCTCCACCCAAGGGCCACCACCTCCATGCAAGGGCCACCAGCTCCATCCAAGGGCCACCACCTCCATCAAGGGCCACCAGCTCCATCCAAGGGCCACCACCTCCATCAAGGGCCACCAGCTCCACCCAAGGGCCACCACCTCCACCCAAGGGCCACCAGCTCCATCCAAGGGCCACCTTAGCGGGGGGCAGCCGAGCGCCCCGCGCCCGCCGCTCTTACCTTCATGGGGTTCTCGTCGTACGTGGGGGTGCCCAGGTCCATCTCGGCCTCGTGCTCCAGGCTGGCGTCGTCCCCGGGGCTGTCCCAGGTCGGCGGGTCCCACTGGGTTTGCCTGCGGAAGGACACGGCGCTGTGACCCACGCGGGACGCAAGGACAAGCGGGACAGGGAAAGGATGGAGAGCCGGGATACTGCAGAGGCCGCTGCCTTCGCACGGCCACAGGATTCCCGGGATACAGCAGGAAGCACCGGACGGAGCAACAAGGGCTCCAAGGCTGAGGCCACAAGTATTTTCCGTCCCCAGCGCGGCGGCCGCCGAGAGCCGGAGCTTTCCCTGCATTATGGAGGGAAACGCAACGGAGCGGCTGCTCCTCGGAGCCTCCCGGCGCTCCAGAGCCCTCCTGGGAAACCTCACGGCACTCCCGGGCTTTCTACGTGTCAGGAAACGCCGCCGGAAAAAATGCGGCGCCGCTCGTTGCAACAAGCCCGGCGGCTTTCCCGGCACACTGCTGGATTGCCCAGCGGCTCGGGAATATCCCGGAGGGCAAACGACGGGATTCTGCTGGATGGGAGGAGATTTGAGATAGCAGAGCAAGAAAAGCGTGCGGACAAGGAGGATTTCTTCCCTTTTTTTTGCAGTGAGAAGATGCCTTTACAAGGACCTCCAAGCATGCAGCCTTGAAAAGGTCAAGATTCCCTATATTATTATCCCGATTATCCTGAGTTAATGGCCTCACGGAGGCCTTGGCTGCGCATGAGGCTCGGCCTCGTCACCTTGTTTCGGATGGAGGCCACCAAACCCCTGGTCGCCCTCAACATCTCTCCCACCTTTGGTGGGGTTTGGAAGGTCTCCTGTTTTGCCCTCGGAGCAAATCTGGCGTTTAGGGATAACGGGGGGGACAGTGTTTGCTAGGAGGAAACGGGAAAGGTCGATGGATACGGAGAAGACGGATACAAGCAACGCTCCTTTCCGAGCCGCATCAAGCCGCTGTCCACGTTCGTCTGGAAAAAAACATGGGCTCAACCCTGCAAGAAGGTGAGATCCCACAGAGGGCTCTCAAAAGATGGAAATGGCAAAAAAAAAATCCCTTTTAACGGTGCCAAATTCATGCGTTTCCTTTTCGATCTGTTCCCAGGCAGGGCTCCAAACCCGGCATACCTTCGGGAGCAGCTCACGGAGCAGCCAGCTGGGAAGCGGAATTTCCTCCCCTTTCTTGCTCAAGACCAGACCAGAAGCTTCACGATGGAAAAAGTGAGAGCGCCGGGGACGGATAACAGCCTTTGGATGCTGCTCGCATCCATGAAGAGCTCGCATCCACAGGCTGCTCCGTCCTCAAAGCTCCTAAGGGTTTTCACGGTGATCCCGTTTGCCCTTGTTTGTGGCCAAAGCCACTCTGGGACCCAGGAGAGCACGAGGGGACACGGTCTCTGTCGGTGGACACCCGGTGAGGCTCCAAAGATGGGGAGAAAAGCGGCATTTTGGCAGGTTTTGAAGCCAAAGGAGCAAAGAGAAGATGTGGAAGTAAATAAAGGGCACCTGGTGAAGGTGCTGCACCTCTGAGGAGCACAATCCTGAGGACATCAACCTTGGGAAATGCAGGAGACCCAAGTCATCGTTGGCAACGCATCGGTGCCGTCCGTCTGCTCCCCCAAAGCAGAGCTCTGAGCCCAGGACTGATTTTTGGGGGACTAAAGATGAGTTTTGGGCCCCAGCAGCCTCTCCCCTGCCTCGTGCTGCCTGCCGGTGTTTGGTGGTGATTCCTGGGCTGTCTCCCACCCCTGGGACATCCAGCTCCGGGGCCGAGCCCGGCGGGCCGCTCACCTCGTGACCACGTGGTAATAGTAGATCTTTCCCTCGGGATCGCGGGCCGTTTTCCAGTTGGGAGGCAGGACGATGGTCTTGGGTTTCGGAGGCGATGGCGGGGGCAGGTCCAGAAGGTTATTCGTCACCACGAGCTCCGGCTAAAAACATCAGAAAAGGTGTTGAACGGGAAAAGGAAAGGAGTAGGGAGAGCCCCAGCATCCCATAACCATCATTGTCCTCTCCTTCCCTTGTCTCTACTCAACAGGAGCTCAAGAGAGTCCATAAGCAGCAATTCCAGAAGGGTTGAGGTTGGAAGGGACCTCTGGAGATCACCCATAAGCAGCAATTCCAGAAGGGTTGGGGTTAGAAGGGACCTCTAGAGATCCCCCCAGTGCAGCCCCTGCTCCAGCAGGGACACCCAGAGGGCATCCCGGTGGCACCCAGGTGGGCTGGGAAGATCTCCATAGCAGGAGCCTCCCTGGGCAGCTTGGGCCAGGGCTTGGGCACCCTCATGGGACAGTTGTTCTTCCTCACATGGAGCTGGAACCTCCTGCAATGCTGCTCCCAAATTCATCATGTAGGATGTGACACCTAGACATGGATCTCCAGCCTAGAGTCCCAATGGTACCAGCACACCACAGTGGGGTAACACACTGGCTGGTATCACCAACGCGTTGGCCTCCTCTGGGTGCCACCATCACCTCCTCTCACCACCACAATCAAGCAAAGAGACATCAAACGAGCGTCCCTTACCTGCTGGATGGGCTGGGGCTGGCCGGCCGCCACGATGGTGGTCACGGCTGCGGGCGGCTGCACGATGACTCCCTGCGGATGGGCCGTGTAGATCTGCTGGCCTTGGATGTACTGGAGACCCGGCTGCGCGTAGCTCTGCAACGGAGCACAGCAGCTTCAAACTCTGGTCCCAAAGGGCTTCATGGCTCCCCTCGGCCTCACTGCAACATCTCCTGGTCTAAACTTGTCCAAAATTCTCCATGCCAAGGCCAGAGAGGGTTTAAGAAAGGACCTCTAAGTGCTTAAAGACCTGGGAATTTTCCCTTGTGGACTTTACCTTCCAGAAGGTTGAGGGCCTTTTTCCTGGTCTTTGTAACCCTGCCCCATACAGATATTTTCAACTCTCAAGGCCAAAAGCCAGGAGAAGATCAGAAACACAAGAAATTAAGCAGTCTGATGACATCTGTCACTGAGAGGAAGCCCTCAACACTTGCAATTGATTCACTATCAATGGAAAATCTGCAATCAAAATCAAATATTTTTTCTACAAAGTCAAGGATTGTTAAAAATCGTCCCAGCGCAGGGAGGCCATGGTGGGCCTGGAGACACCTCCAGCAGGAACGTGCTCCTGTGCAAGGAGCACTTCCCCAAGGTCAAGAGAAGCCAAGAGTCTCCCCATGTCATTAAGCAGCCCAAAGTTGCTCGGATGGAGTGAAACTCTCCATCCATGTGCAACCACGCTGCTGGATGACGTTGGGAAGCACCAAAGCCAAAGAGGACTTCTGGGAAGCTCCAGAGTTACCACTACCTGCTCACGCACAGCCCCAAATCACAGACTCAGATGGTCCCAGCTGAGAAGGACTGGAGAGGAGCTGTGCTAAAAGTTGCTCGGCTCTGTTAGTTAGAGCTTACAGTAGAAAATGTTGGTTTTTCTTCCTGCTGGAGAGGTCTCATGACACAAGAGAAGCGTTCACCTCTCTTCTTAATGGGCCAAATGCTTCAAGGGAGACAAGAGTTGATCTCTCAGAGCTGAAGGCAATGAGGAGGAGCCACCAAACCACCCAGCTATGGCAAGTTCTGGCCCGACACCAGACACCAACAGCACCAACAAGACAACGTTTTGCTCCTCAGAGGAGAGCAAGGGGCTGCCAGTGCCACAACTGCACCAAGGGGAAAGGGCTGGATACCCCGTGTGCCGCTACAGCTCTCACTTCACCACCAGCCTGGGGCACCAGGTCCCCCAAAGCAGCTCATCTTACCTTCTCAGACCTCCCCTGGCACAGATTTCCATTTCACAGCTTGAGGAAGTAGCCTGTGTTTACAAGAACCCCGTTTCTGGAAGGGCCCTGCAGGTCTCCACCTTCACGTCCTACCTTACCTTGCAAAGGCAGAAGCTCCTGCCCAGAATATGCTGTTCATGGGACTCGACATTCAAAAACTACCCTGTGTTGAACACGTTAGGAACAGCCTCAGCCCAGCTGCCACCTCCTGCTTGGTCCCACCAACCTAGACGTCCTGCAACTTTGTGCACAGCAAATACCCGTCCCCAACGTGTTTTTTCCCCTGGGAAAGCTGTAAAATCACGGAATTACCTGCACAATCGGCGGCGTCGCCTGCGAATACGGGGACGTGACCCCATAAACAGTCTGACAGGTCTGTCCCTGGTAATAAATGGCCGGCTGCGACTGGGCGGGCGAGTACTGCTGCGGCACAGCCACGGGCTGCTGGCCCGAGTCCCACACGCCGTAGCCCTGGCCCTGCACGGGCCCCGGCGCCGGCACGGGCAGCACGGCCACGCCGGCCTCCTGGTGGCCCACGGCGTCGGCGGGCGCCACGTACGGCGGCGCCGGCACCTCCATGGCGGCCGCGACGTGCTGCACGACGGGCACGGGCTGCGCCGGCGGCAGCGCCGGCTCCACCGCGGGGCCCACCAGAGGCTGCGGGTGCTCGTAGGGCGCCGGCGAGCACATGGAGTCCATGCTCGGCGTGGGCAGCAGCACCTTGCCGGCGTTGGGGTTGCTGGGGTCCACGTAGGCCTGCATGGGGTAGCCGGGCGGGTAGCCCATGAAGCTGTGGTGAGGGGTGCCGTAGGCCAGGGGGTCGTAGGGAAGGGGTGATGCCATGCCCAGGTTCTGCAGCTGCTGCTGCTGCTTCTGGGCCTCGCGCTGGGCCACCTCCTGCTCAAAGAGCTTGCGGCGCTCCTCGGTGGAGAGCTTGTTGCGGTCCTTGAGGCGGGCCTTCTTCTTGGAAGAAGCTGGCGTGTCATACCTGGGAGGGCGAGGGAGGGAAAGGCTCCGTGAGACGCGCACGGAAGCACCCGGGCGCCCGGGAGGTCCTCCAGCGGCAGGGCAAGGAGCGGGAGCTCCCGCGCGGGAGCGGGACCCACCACCCAGGCTGCTCCTCTGCTTCGGGCTTCTGCGCCAGCCGGGCTGCTCCCGAGGAGCAGGAAGATCCGCAGGATGAGGATGCTCCTGCTGAGGTGCAGTGGCCTCCACCACCTCGGGCTCGGGAGCAAAGGGAGACCCGGGCTGCAGGGTCCGCATCGGGGGACACGGAGGCCACCAGGGCTGCACTGAGGGCCACCAGGAACCCAAGGGGAGAGCAGAGCGAGGTGCTCCCTCCACACCACCCCAGAGTTCGTCCAGCCCGTGGGGCAGCATCTCTTGGGCATCAGGAGAAGTTTGATGGACACCAAGGAAACCCAAGCTGGGGAATAATCCATAGGGAAAAGCAGCCGCGTTGGGCTGTGGGGGCAGGAACCTCCATCCCCACCACAGCAACACGGAGCAAACTACCCACCGGCCCTTCCCTCTCCCAACCACCATCCCGGGGCTTCCAGGGGCTCGGATCCGGCACTCCGGGGAAGCACGCAGTGGAGCCGGCCCAGAGCAGCCTCTGGAGTGCGCGGACACAGACGTTCCTCAGGATAACAGAAGCGCCAGCTCCGGGCTCTGCTTGGAGTTGGGCTGTTTAGGAGACCACAGCTCCGGCCAGAAAGGAATTAGGAGAAGAAAGGACGAAGCGCGGGAGGACTCTTCTAAGGAGCAGGGATTTTTCACCCCAAGATGCGGAGCAGCTGCAGGGCTTTTTCCAAGGAGTTAAATAAATTGTTTTAAAAAAGGCTTAGGAACTTTGATCGGGCCTCAACCACGGAAAACGTCAGATCAAAGGTGGGAATTTTGAGACATTATGAGTGTGGTCAAATGGGGCTTATAAGCGAAAATGCTTTGCAGCTCTACATGTGGTGGGGTCCACAAAGCTCCAAGAATATCCTCAACATCCTGCCTTTGCATTCCTATGTTCACTTTGCATCCCAAACGCCTGTTGCTACCAATCCCTGAATCCACCCGGGTCCTCCGTCCTATTTGTGGAGCAGCTGATGTGTTAATAGGAACGGGGTCCAATGCGGGGTCCAATGTAAATAATTCAGGTCCTTCCCGAGCGGAGGAAAAAGTGGGAGAGAAAGGCAGGAGGATGGGAATGCTGCCAAGCCTCCCATCCTCGGAGAACATCCCGGGCCGGTTCTGCTCCTTCCATCCCCACTGCTGCACCCAGGAGGGCTCCTCCCCTGTTCTCCATGTTTATCAGGACCATTTAACAGGTATTTAAGCCCAAAAGAGCCGGAAGGCAAAGGACAACGTTCTCCTGAAACCCAACACTTTCAAGCCCACCTTTTTCAAGGTCTCAAGCTGTTCCTGTTCCACCCTGTTCATTCCTTCCTTTCTCCCATCTCCTCGCTCTCCTCCCATCCCTCCTGTCCCCATCCCTGGGCTCCCTTTCCATCCCCCGAGGCCTAACTGCAGGATCGGGGGCTCTCTGGCCCAACTTTTGGGCAGACCTTCCAAGCTTCTCCATGCAGCCCGAGGACACAAGTCTGCTGGGCTGGCCCCTTGGCCGCCTTACCCGCTCCCTTCAGATCCTCTTTCAGGGAGACAATAGCAGCCCCGGCTGCTTTTTAAGGGCGACTCCTTGGGAATGACGCTGCCTTTCCCACCGCCCGGCAGCTCCCTCCAACAAAAGGCAGCGCTTCTCTTCCCTTAATTAATTAGGAACTTTCGAGTAAGGGAAACTGCCCTCCTGCAAAGAGGAACAATGGAAAATAATTACAGTGGAACAGCCAATGGAATGGCCATTGAAGAAGGTGGTTCCCATGTTATTTTTAAAAATGTGGCGAGAGGTGGCACCAAATGGAGGCCCAAACGGGCAAGAAAAGGCTCCTGCAGTAACTGGGAGTGTTTTCTCCGTCTGCATGGCTCCTCGAGGGGAACCAGCTGGCTCCAGGCTGGAAAATGGACTTCTGCGTTGCAGTTATTTGTCTCTTAGCTCTTGCAAACGCGTGGAGCAGCGCAAGTCTGGTTGGCCCAAGTTGGTTAAATCCTCTTAAGAGACACAGGCCGTGCCACGAAGCCATTGCCATGGGAAAGGAGGAGAAATAGTGACAGAGAAGGGCTGCTGCTGCTCTACAGGATAATAAGCTCCTGTGTTATCTTCCTGGATGGCTCTCATGGTGCTCGTGCCCTCCAAGCGCTCCTGCAAGCATCGCTACCAGCCAGGGACTGCAACTCACCTTGTTCAGCTTGGAGAAGGCTGAGAGGGCATCTGATTAACATGTATAAATAAATGAAGGGGCAACGTAGGGAGGAAGGGGTCAAGCTTTTCTCAGTGGTGGCCAGTGACAGGACAAGGGGTAATGGGCGCAAGCTGAAACCCAGGCAGTTCCATCTCCAGGTGAGGAGGAACTTCTTCACTGTGAGGGTGACAGAGCAGTGGAACAGGCTGCCCAGGGAGGTTGTGGAGTCTCCTTCTCTGGAGGTCTTCAAAACCCGCCTGGATGCCACCCTGTGCCACATGCTCTAGGTGTGCCTGCTGGAGCAGGAAGGTTGGACTAGATGATCCCTAGATGTCCCTCCCAACCTTGAAGATTCTGTGTGATTCTGTGTATGGTATTTTCCTGAGAGAAATCTCCTTTTTCCCCCCAGTTTTCCCCGCTCCGAGCACTCACCTGTCTTCGGGCCTCTTGGTTCCCCGCTCGTACGCCGAGGACGGCGGCGACAAGGAATCGCGCCGCCTCTTCTTCTCCTTGCTCTGGCTCTGCCGCTCGGCATCGCGCTCGCGGGTCAGGACGGGGTTCTTGGGGGTCGGCGTCTGGTCCCGGTGGCCCACGGCCTCTCTCCCACGATCCGCTGGGAGGGATAGATGGGAACATAGGTTACAATTCAGTGTGTTCCATCTCCAGCTGAGGAGGAACTTCTTCACTGTGAGGGTGACAGAGCAGTGGAACAGGCTGCCCAGGGAGGTTGTGGAGTCTCCTTCTCTGGAGGTCTTCAAAACCCGCCTGGATGCCACCCTGTGCCACATGCTCTAGGTGTGCCTGCTGGAGCAGGAAGGTTGGACTAGATGATCTCTAGAGGTCCCTTCCAACCTTGAACATTCTGTGATTCTGTGAAGGGAGAGGGTTTCCATAGGTAGGAAGGGAAAACAGAGCTGGGAAGAGCAGTGCTAGCCCAAGTCCTCTGCCAGGTCCCAGTGCCACCGCCAGGGCTGGTCTGTGTGACCTTCTGGTGCTAACTACACCACCCAGATGGGAAGAGCTTTTAGGGTGGCTCAACGTACACAGCTGGAGATGTTAACACCTGACGTCAAGGACTGTCAGGAGCATCTATATGCTGTGAAGAAAAGCAACGCTGCACTGAGGATGGAACTCCACCTTAAAGCAGGTTCTTCCTCCAAGTACATCTCTTTTATTAGGAGTGACCCTACTGTCATATCCAGTAGGGTACGAGAGCAGGAGAGCAGGATCCACGAGGAGGCTCCAGGCCTCAGAAGACCAAGTTCAGCCTTTGGAGTATGGCAGAGAGCCCATCTAGGAGGGTAAAAAACATCTCCTGCTCTCTTGTCTGAGATGCCACATGGATGTTTTGTTCCATAGGGAAGTTGATTCGTCTTCTCTATTTATGTTTCACGCGTTATGGCTGGAGCTGCTGCCTATAGGAGACACCTGCAGCCCCCAAGCCAACAAGGTCAACCCCGCGCCCCTGCAGCACAAGCAACGGTGCAGCCCTAGCGTTGGTCTCCAGCACCCAAGACGACACATCCCAAGCTCCAGATGGACAACCTCGCTTGGTGGAGTGCTCCAGGAAAATCAGACCTTCCATAGGAGTGGAATTATAACAGGATAAATAAGGAGACATGACTACGTACCGCTGTTCTCCCTTTCCGCTTGGCTCTTCTTGGGGATCCGATAGACCTCCTGCAAAACAAGGCACAAGTCAGACTTTCAGGCCGGTACACGAGCGTATTCCCACTGTCTACAGGGCTGCCTGGACCATAAGGTGCTTCCCAAGGAGTTCTAGCAATTCCCTCATCACTTTAAAACAAAACCAGTCCAAAATTGGGTCTTTAAACATGTCACCGCGGTGCTTTCTATGCATTATCCCTCATCGGCACTTCCCGTTTCACCAGTTTTGGGGGTTTTTGTAGCAGAGGCTCCAGTGGAGCCACTGTGGAGCAAGCTGGGAGCAGACGGGCTCCAGGTTGGACACGTGGTGTTTGAGGAGATGGTCAGTGCCCCTCAAAGAGTGGTCAAAACCCTGCTATTTTACTACAGAAACCCGTTTGGCTCTTGGTTTCATGTATTAAGCAGCCCCCTCGGTGTCACAGGATCACAGGTTGGTTGAGGTCAGAAGGGACCTCCAGACTAGCTGATCTCCAGAGGTCCCTTCAACCCTTCTGGGACCATCTAACGCCCCACAACTTTTTAGGTCCCTGCTTCTAACTAGGGGCAGGAGCAGAAAACAAAACAGCTTGAGAAGCTCAGAAGTCCCACGTAGACACCTGGGTGAGGACCACAATGTGGTGACCCAAGCTAGCCTCCCAAGCACCCCTCTCCCTGCAGTTGCTTCATCTTCTGAAGACCAACCTTGCTGCTCACGTACCCAGCGGAGGTCTTGGGAAGCTCTTCTGAGCACTTTCAAACTCATTTTGAGCCTGAATCTGCCTAAATGACAGAGCAGGTAGAGGCTCTCGATAGCTGGGTTGGCACCAGAGTTCCTGGTTAGGTGGCCAAGCTGCTCCACCACCGGGACCTCTCAAACGGGGTCCCCAGCCCTTCTCCATGCACCTTCAGATGTTCCTGATAACGAGCGCGGCCACGGCAGGGAGGGAGCCTGAGGGGACAACGCAGATGACCACCCAGCCCCACGTGCAGCGTTGGGTTGTCCCTAACACTGACGCAAGCACAGGGAGCCCAAAACAAAGCAGAGAGACTCGCTGTCCTTCAACCACCACCACGCAGAATCAACCTGCCGCTGAGACTCCAGAAGACAAGTCCTTGGTTTGCATGAGTTTGGGTCAGGGGCCACCTCCACATCCCTGTGTCCCTCCCACAGAGCTAAGACCAAGACCATCATTCATCACCTAAGATCGCTTGTTGACCTTCTAGGATTCTCAGAGGGCCCCTGCAACTATGTTGTCACACATTTAAGAGTAAAAATGTGTTTATTCCTGTGGGCATTTCCAGGCAGGTCACGTCTTACAAGTCCCAGCACCAGCTCTTTCAGCTCAAAGCCTCCTGGCAGGCGGGGTCTGGAAGGGCAGAAGGTTTCTGCCCAATCGCCACCCAATGGCAGGAGTTCTGAACTAGGGTCTTAATGATCCCGCAGGATCTTTAAAACCATTGCATTAGGAAAATCCACATTTCCTTTCCATCCTTCTTCTCACTGCTGGAGTTAGAGCCACCCTGCACATGATGCTGAGGAGAAGGTGGCATCTCCAAGCGGGACAACAAGAGAGGTTGCTCCACGTTTCATACTTTATTGCTTCTCAGACAGCCCATGGACCCGCGCTTACGCCTCCTTCTCCAAGGAGAAGTCTCCAAGCTTCTCCAAGCTACGTTTGAAACTTCAGGCAAAGACTCGTGGAAGAGAGGGAGGGAAGGAAAAGAGCCTCAAAGGAAGGACGTTGAGTGCATTTTGCTAAGCTGGAAGGCACTTAAGACCTCAAGCTATCTGAGACAGAAACCACTTCTCACAGACAGGGGCAGCCCATGACACCTTCGGATCTGCTACAAGAACTACAAAACCCACGCGAGCTGTGGGACCTTAAAGACCATCCTGGTCTTTAGAGGGAGGAGAAAGACCTGAGGTGTCAACGTTGTTCCTGGACACCTCAGAAGCTCAACCCAAGATTAAAACCCCCCTGGGGTTCTGGTCCTACGAACACCAAGACTTCTTGGCTAAATAGGAGCGAGAGGGTCTGTGGAAAGGAAATGAGGGACGGACTGGTTAATATTTGGGCTTTCTTGGAGACGGAGCGACTCAAATGCCCGTGCAGGGCTGAAGCCATCAGAAGAAACCCACCTAGCAAAGCAAAATATAGGGTTTTAGAGAGTCAAATAGCTATTTTGGTTTTGAATATTTTCTGCATCTCTCATCTTTTCAGGACGAGAGCCAAGCACCATCCTGCTCTCAACCTTGGGCTTCCAAGGACTGAGTCCCGGCACAACTCAACAAACGTGGGCAGCTTCAGCATCCAAAAAGGCTCTACCTGCATTGGTGGAGGGCCACCATGGGGCACATCAGGTAGGACCAGCCCCAAAAAGGAGACATGATGGGGAATAGGTGGCACCAGGACCAGGAACACCTCTGTTGTCCTTCCCTTCCTTTCAGCACCCTTCCAGATGGATGCAACGTTTGCCACGACCTCTTCAGCCATCAGAAGCACCAGCAACATGCCCTTGGTAATGGTGGTCTCCACATATTCCCAGGATATCACGATGGAGTTAAAAAAAAATGAAGTTCTTAGGATGTTTTTAATGGAAACTAAAGAAACCACAAAGTGTCTCACTGTTTTGCCTAGAGGCAGATGCAGCAGGAACGTGTTGGGACAAAAAAGCTACACGATGCTGTGAAATCTGTCCCAAGCAAGGAGCTGCTAGGGCTCCTTTCTGGAGTATTTATACTTCCTCGAGTATAAATACCCGAGTATTTATAGTATATAACTAAACAGAGATAATTGTTGGGAGCAGCGTTAAGGAAGAGGGCTCCACAGCAAGATCTCCTTCGTCAAATTAACTGCCCAGGTGAAACAAAAGGTAATTCCAGAGAGTTGCTGGAGAACAACGTCTTGCTGGAGGGCATCTCGGGGCACATCTAGCGGCTGCAGAACTGCCAGGATCGGTCCAGCGAGGGGCAGAGGGAGTCTTTGGGAACATAGGACGCTCGGAAGCGTCCTATGAAAACCAGATGGTGGCCAAAGCAGATGCAAGGCAGGGAGTTTTCCAAAGGCCGGCTTTATTTTTGGAAAGGGAAGCGGCCAGCTCGCGCAGGCACCGGCGCCCAAGCGAGGCAAGCGCCGCTAAGCGAGGCCCAACGCTTCTCTGCCTTGGAGGGCAACGTCTCAGGAGCTCCATGGAAAACTAACTGCAAGAAAAGGAGGAGCGATGGGCAGAAGCTTGCTGCAAACGGGGCACGGAGAGCATTCTGGCCACCTGGTTGCAATGTTTTATATCAAAGGGAAAGGCAGAACGACGGAGCGATCTCAAGACTCGGAGGATATCTTGGTAGGAGAAGGTGTGTAGTGAGATCCTCTTGGGAAATGTGCCCATTAAGCACCATTTTTCACCTAATGGGACAAAAGTACCAATGTAGCTGGAGTTCTGTGTGTAGGTTTGGATTCCCCAGGGCAAGAGGGACATGGATCTCCTAGAGAGGGTCCAGCGGAGGGCAACCAAGATGATGAAGGGACTGGAGCATCTCTTGTATGAGGAAAGACTAAGCGAGCTGGGCCTGTTTAGCTTGGAGAAGAGAAGGCTGAGAGGGGATCTGAGTAACATGCACCAGTACATGAAGGGGGAATGTAGGGAGGAAGGGGCCGAGCTCTTCTCGGTGGTGGCCAGTGGCAGGCCAAGGGGCAGTGGGGACAAGCTGACACCCAGCAGGTCCCATCTCCACGGGAGGAAGAGCTGCTGCACTGGGAGGTGCCCGAGCCCTGGCCCAGGCTGCCCAGGGAGGCTGCGGAGGCTCCTGCTCTGGGCATCTCCCCAAGCCGTCTGGGTGCCAGCGGGTGCCCCGTGCTCTGGGTGTCCCTGTGGAGCAGGGGCTGCACTGGGGGAGCTCCAGAGGTCCCCTCCACCCTCAACCAACCTGTGTTTCTGTGAGAAAAGTGGAAGGGCAATGGCCTGGACTCGCACAACCCCAAGTACCGAAGGCACCACAGGGTGGAACCTGCTGAGCAGGGAAGAGGCTCGGGTTGAATGAACAAGCCAAAGGGCCAACAGAGGCTCCGTCCATGCTTAATCCCTAAGCCAGGAGTCAAGAGGGATTCAAGATGGGCAACATCAACCGCTACATTTGGTGAGGACCTCTAAACCTCAGACAGGAGCAAAAGCCCCTCTGCAGAAACGCTGCAAGAGCAAATGCAGCACCGGGGCTCCCAAGAGGTTGGGCAGGAGGAGCTCCACAACCCTGCCTGGATCGAGGTGCAGCAAGTGCCATTTGGGAAGACTGCTCTCCGGGCAAGAAGAAAGTTCAGTTTGTCTGTCCGGGTCACTGCAGTCCTGCTATCCCGGCACAGCCTAATGATTAACCTTGGAGAAAGGCTGTTTGGATCACACAAGAGAAAGTCCACCTAGACTAAACCAAATAGCAAGGACAGTGTCTTAGACTTGAATTCCAAGTCATGGTGAAATAACTCTCAGGACTTAAGTGTCCAGCTAAACCCTTTTAAACCCAAGAGAGATGTCCCCTTCAAAAGCTTTTTTTTAAAAGAAGAACCCCTCCAACTTGCAGGAGAGGTTTTGTGGACCCTCACAGCCACAGCTGGGGGAAGCTCTCAGCTTCTCCACGACAAGCTTCAGGGCTCCAAATAACCAGAGCCGCTGCAAAGCCTCTGCTTTGGATGGTGGAGCTGCAAGCCTGGCTTGAGATAAGCAGCAAGGAACCCCCCCAAAGAATAGACTACCCTCAAAAAGGCTTCACTATTAGAGCTCAGTCTAAGTTAAAGCCCTAGTGAAACCCTAAGGCTTCAGCCCTAGTTACTGGAGCACGAGCCAGCAGAAGGTCTTGATGACAGAGGTTTCTCCACGGCTTCCTGGTGGTGTTTGCGTCCGTACGTCGGCACCAGCAGCCAAGCTTGCTCCAAACCGGGGCCGCTACGAGGTCCTCGTTCCCGAGACGCCCTTGGGGGACGGCGCCGTGAGGACAAGCGGCGCGTCCGGCCGCGCCGGGCTCCACGGGGCCTTACCTGAGGTCCTGGGCTAAGGAGATGTCCAGGGGCATCAGTCGCCCGGAGGGTGGCAAGGAGCCCAGGCTGAAAACGTGAGCCTCGGCGCAGCGCGCGCGCGTGCCCGGCGCGCCGGGGATGGGACAGCATACAGAAAGGTATATAAAATAGAGGTATATATATATAAAAAAAGAGCTCACTTAATCCTTTCACGCCAGGGGGTTGTGATTTTTCCCCGAGCGACGGCCACTGCCGGCAACGCACCGCAATTACGCCGGCATCCCCGAGTTAACCACCTCTGTCCTCCTTGCACCTATTACATTTGCCATGCCCCATGCAGCTTCCCAAGCATCTTCCTGCGTCTTCAGCGCGGGCACGCTACGGTCTCGCCCTTCTTCGGCGCGCACGTGGAAACGGAGTGGAGCAAAGGAGACACTTGGAGAGCTGCTGGTGTTACCAAGCTCCTCGCTGCCCTGAGAAGCTGGATGGAAACGGTTGCAATTACCAGGGGGGCATCGGCAAGACTAGGGAGGACAGAGCTTAAGTCACAAGACCCTCCCACCCTCCCGTCCGGCGGCAGCGGCTTTGGAGAGATGTTCGGATGTTCCAACACTCGATCCAAGCGGGTGGGAAGGTTGGCAGGGTGGGAAAAGCACCTTGTTCTCTTCCCGTTTGGGTGACTTAAGTCCTCCCGTGGCTTTGAGGAGCTCCAGGGACCACCTGGAGCTCCAGCACGAGGCCGGTAGCTGCAGCGGTCTCCCCTCTCTTAGCTTAGTCTTCTCATTTAGAAATCAGGATTACGGGGCCTAACTAACCCCTGCGGTGCCTAGTTAACCCCTAAACCAGTTTCTGATGAGGTGACAAGTTGGACAGAAGTAGTTAACTCTGGAGTGCCCAAGAAGGGGCAGGACACGTTGCAGCCAGGTCTCCCCAGGGTCGCTTTGCACTACAGACATTAGATATTAGCCCCAGATATTGGGATTACACCTAAATTGGGATCAATACCCACGTCCCTAAGACCAGAACTGTCCTGCAGGTGGTTCCGAGGGTCCTTTTAGACCCAGGAGGTGACACGCACTAGAACACAGCGACCACCATGACGGAGAGGAGATGCCACCACGTCTTGGTGGCAGCTTGTGATGGGAGCGATTGCAGAGCCCCAAACCTCAACCTGTCCCAGCCCTGGGGGACACCCAGCTCCTCTGGGAGCCAACACTTAGTGTCAACACGACACTGTCAGCCCAAATTTGGTGTCAAAGCCACCAAATTTAACAAAAGCCGCGCGAGTTTCGCAGAACTTCACTTTTTTGGTGATGAAGCAGTTTTGGGTTTGTTTTCCTTCCTCTGTTTTGAGGTTTAAACCACACAACGCGGGATCCCGAAAGCAAAACCATCCCGGTACAAACAGAAGAGCGAACCCGTGCAGCGCAACACAAACATCATTTGAAGTGAGTTGAGCTTCCCATTCAAACCATCCATGGAATTAGCAACGTATGGAGACGGCCTCTCCTTTAATTTAACCAAAAACTCAGCCCGATCCCACTTAACCATAAACTCAACCTGACTCCACTTAAAGCAAGGGGCACGACCTAACGCTCTGCTTAGGACCATATTTTAATCCTCTGTTTAGGACCATCTTTTAGTTCCCTGCCTACACGGCGACGTCTCAGCTCTCCTCCCACTGGGATTTTAAGGCCCGAATGATTACGGTCAAGCAAAGGCTCGAGGGGATCGGATTCTTCTGAAAAATCCAGAAATAAAAGTAAGAATTCGCCCAAGTCTTGCATAAACTGCATTATTGGACTTTAAATACTAAATAATAAATTGTACGTTATGAATGTGTTTAGAGCTGCAGGTGAAGTGTGATGGACTTGGAGATCACCATGGTCTCCTCCAGCGGTGCACGGTGCCAATACTACGTGTATTACCTGATATTTTTAATAGTTTCCTCTAAAGCCATTACTCAGTGGCCACTTTTGAGGAGAAAAACCCACTTTTTGGCCACACGATGCAGCCCAGTGGAAATTTGCTTAAGGAGAACGTCCAGCAACGAAAGCAGGGTGGACTTTGCATGATGAGAAGGGCACAGGCCTCTGCTGTTGGGGTCACCAACACTCGGTGACCGAGGGACACTCGGACATGGACACGACTGCATCTTGGGTGCAGGGAGGGGGCAGGAAGAACTTACAACCACCAGGACTTTGGCCATCTTGGTGGTGGAAGGGTCCTTCAAGGCTCCAAGGTGGCACCTTCCCCATGCCCTTGACTTCTCAGCTGCATCGGCAGCAGACGCCACTCTGACATTTTAAAAGAAAAACTCTCTTTTCGTCCCCATGAGCATCTAGGGGAGCAGCAGGTGGGTGAGGAGCTTCAGAAGGCCTCAAGAAACCCCAGAAGGCTGAAGATCAGCGGCCCACGTGGGCCACCTGCACCGCCCAGGAGACCTCTGCCCGATGGCAGCAACGGGCACCACCAAATCCTGCTCCTAAAGGAGTTACCAACTCCAGATCTTGGTGGAAGCAAGACATGAAGCCACTGCACAGCTAGGTATCTTTCAAGGTATCTTTAAAGGTTCTAGCTGTCTTTCAAGGTCTGGATTTGTATCCCCAAATCTGGATTTTTACCCCATTACACAGATTGCAAAAACTGAGAGGTTAATCCAGCACGAAGAGTAATACGGAGAGATTGTCCAAGTGCCAGTGATTGGGTGATGAAAAGCAGATGTTCACAGAACAGGAGAGCCTGATAATCTCGTGATAAGTGAATTTAAGAGTAGATGGTTGGTCATTTGTTTCAGCACTGATAAACACAGGAGGTTCCATCTCCAAGTGAGGAGGAACTTCTTTACTATGAGGGTGACAGAGCCCTGGAACAGGCTGCCCAGGGAGGTTGCGGAGTCTCCTTCTCTGGAGGTCTTCAAAACCCGCCTGGATGCCACCCTGTGCCATGTGCTCTAGGTGTGCCTGCTTGAGTGGGAAGGTTGGACTGAGGTCCAACCTCCAAGAGATGATCTCTAGAGGTCCCTTCCAACCTCAACCATCCTGTGATTCTGTGAAACCCTCAACCAGCACCGCGCACCACGTTGTCGCTAGCCTCTTATTTTCAGCGCAGTTGAGATGAACCTCAACCGCTAAAACCTGGGTGACTAAGTTCTCTTTGTGGCGGCCAAGGTGAACTACCTGCTCCTCTCGGCGCGCGACACACCAGCACCCAACAAGCTGCTACCAGTCGCGGACGGGGCCATTTGCAATGAAGGGATATGGACGGGAAGCACCCGGAGAAGCCCTCTGGGGAGCAGAGGCAGCCTTGGCGGTTGAGCGTTCACCAGGAGGACAAGCACATGGTTGCCCGCGGCCCTGCAACGCGAGCGTGGCGCTGCTGGAGCTGCGGGGCAGCACGGAGCACCTCTTACCTTCAGGTCCTTCCAGACGTCGAGCAGCCTGGTGGCCAGGTCGCTCACGTCCACCATCTTGTCCGTTTGCTCCTGGCTCCTCTCGCTCTCCACGTCGGAGACGCCTTCTTCCTCGTCCTGCGACGGCGTCTCCATCGTGATGGGCTCCTCCAGCTTCGTCCCGTTGCTCTCTTTGGCCTCGGCTTCGGGCTCGGCCTCCAGCTCCAGCGACTTGCTGCTCTCCACCGCGCCGTCCACGGCAGCTTTGGGCTCCGACTGCTGGGGCTGCTCCTCCGACCCCTCCGTGGTGGTGCCCTCCAGCTGGTCCAAGTCCTCTTTGCCCTCCTTGCCTTCCAGCTCGCTGGTTGTGTCCGAGATGGCGCTGTCCATGCTGTTCTCGCTGATGATCTTGAGCCTCCGCAGCACCAGCTTCTTGGGGGTCTCCGTGTCGGCCTCGGCACCCTGCTTGGCGGCCAGGTCGGGCGTGTTGAGCGGCGTGTGAGCGCGCGACGTGTTCTCGCTCGAGTAGCCGTCGCCCTCGCTGAGCTGCGGCACGGCGCTCTTGGTCTGCGCCCAGCGCTGGATGATGGGCAGCACTTTGCTCTCCTCCAGCATGTTCTTGTTGGGAATGGGCAGCAGCTCCAGCGTCTTCATGATCTGGGTGCCAAGACAAAACCAGAGCTGTTAGGGGGCAGCAGAAAACCAGCCCCGGCCCGGAGTGGGTCCCCAGCCTTGGTGAAGACATCCCCAGCACGCCAAGCAATGGGAGCAGGAGCTACCTCTAGCTTCCACAGTTATACACTCCAGGGATTAACAGGCCTCTGCATTTAAAAAATAAATTAAAAGTCACACACTACTACAAAATTCAGCATATTTTAACTGTTTTCCTTAAGCTCACAACAGAATTCCCATGCCAAGAAGAAAGAAAAAGCAGGATGTGGGATCCTAGGCTCTACCTTGATGTTTGCACAAGAGTTAGGCTTAATTTTACACTATGATTTGCACCTTCATGGAGAGAAGAAATAGTCATTTCGTGCATTTCCCAAACCAGTCCTTGAGGACTGAGGGACAGCAGATGCTTTCGCAGCGTTACGCTGCCTTCTGCCACTGACATGGGATGGCCAAAGACCAATTCTCCTGAAAAAGAGGAGAATTCGTCTAAAAAAGAGGAGAATTGGTCTCCTCAGCTTAAAAATAAATAAATAAAAATAAAATATAAGAAGACAAGGCAGAGGTTGGAGTGGAGACAGAGCCACCACTACTGTAGCCACTCAAAGTCATCCTCGTAGACCCTGGGGCAGGGGGACTCTGGGTTTGTGGTCACTGAGGTTGAATGGCTGAATCTGGTCCAAATGAAAGAGGGGAAAAGCAAAGTCCAACCCGAGCAAAGGCGGTCCAAAACTGAGCAGCTTCCCCCTCGGACCTGTGCGATGACCGAGTAGCTCTTGTACCTTGTATCTCCGGGAGTACAGAGGCAGGAACCACACAGATAATTGCAGCCCTCCCTCAGGGCGATGTCTGCAATATTTAAGACGTGGGATGGACTCTGCCTGCCCTGAAGGAGCAAACCGCAGCTCTAACAACCGTGGTGCCAAGTGTGGTTGCTACGAGAGTGTAGTCACACCTTGTGGTGAGGACTTGGTGTGGAAGTGGTGGCCCGAGCAGACCGCCCTGCCACCCTTCCCCACCACGCAGGCTGCTCGAGAAGAGAGCAGAAATCGTCCTGCTGCATCAACCCAAAAAGGAGAGCTGGGTGGGCAGATGTTCAGCATCCCCCTCCCACGCCAAGAGCAGAGGGCTCAACGGAGGCGTTGGGAGGTGACAAAGTCAATCCTCGGCCTTCTGCCACCAGCAGCGGCTGAGGGGGCCGTTGGGCAGCTTCCCATGCGGGGATGGGAGGGATGAGCACAACAGAAGTCGGTCAACACAGCTCGGAAAAACCTGTCACCATCAGCGTGTCACCGTCAGCAGGAGAACAGGCAACACCCGAGGGCTGAAGCTCCTGCAGCTTCTGCTCTCCTGTTTGGCATTGGGGACTGCAAAAGCCTCTTTAAAGCCCCAAGCCAAGTTCTTGGAGAAGTGGCTTCACGAAAGGAAGCGCCACATGATGCTCGCGTGCAACGCGTGTGCAGAAAACCAAAACCCAAGTTCTGCTCGAGCTTGTCCAACCTCCAGCACCGTCCCCAACAGGCACCAGGGATCTTCTTGAAGCCTGGCTTTTGTCACTAGCTCAGAAATCTGCGGGAAAACCACAAATTCTTTCCATGTGTTTAGAACCTCCCTCCAAGCGGGAATTTCAGAGGGCGACGCCGGCGGTACCTGCCGCTTATTTTCACGAACACATCATGCAAGAGTTACATCCAAAGGGGAAAAAAGATTAAAAACACTAAATAAAATCAACATGCTTCCTGTGAGCAATTAGCAAAGCTGCTTCCAGAGCTTCCCGCACGCAAAGAGGGACCCTGGCCACCCTCGAGGGAGCGACTGACCTCCAGCTGCAGCTTCAGGTTGTTGGCGGTGCTTCCCCTCCCGTCGCCCAGCTCCGTCATCCAAATCCAGAGGAGGGACAGGCCGTGGCACTCGAGGAAGGACTTCAGGCAGGTCTGCGAGTGCGTGTTCTAGGGGAGCCGAAAGTAGGGAAAATCCATGGGAGAAGGCCAAAAAAACCCTTTGGTTTTCACACATCGACACAACCAACTACCGCACCAGGTATATATCCATATACATCACCCATAAAATTCACTGCTACTAAAAAACCACACAAAGTCAAAGGTAAAAAATCAGGATAATCTTGGAGATAAGCGAGCCATGGGGTTAAGCTGGCAAAGATGGGCTTTCTAAATTCCTTCTGCGAAGCTCTGAGCAGCTCAGCCTCTCTGGAGAGAAGCATTCGCTCTCATTTCAATCCTTTCCTGCTCCCCACAGAATCACAGAACGCTGGAGGTTGGATGGGACCTCTAAAAACTCCTGGTGAAAAGAACATTTAGGCACATTTGTTGCACCAAATAAGGACCAAGCAAAGGGCCAGGATCACACGTGGTCTATAAACCAAGCAGAATTGGTGCTTTGTGTATAGACCCGCGTGATTGATCTTGTGTGTGGTGTGCTGGCACAACCATCCAACCTTTAAGCTCTTCTCCTAACAAGGCTTGAACTCTCTTGTTCAAAAAGCAAGAGGTCCCTTGGTGTTGCAGTCGAGATCTCCTCACCTGTATGAGTTTGAGGCAGGTAAGCTTCTGCTCCAATGTCTCGATCCGAACCATCAAGCGGGATAAACTGAGAACCTGGTTCTTATCCGAGAGGCCCTCGCCGTTCTCCAGCAGGGCTTCCAGCTCCCCATCCACCTACCAGGGCAAAAAAGACAGTTTTCAGGTCACACCAGGCTTGCAAAATGCCTCCCTACAAGATGGTAAAGATATTTTGTCGCCTGGTTTTGGGAGGCAGAACAAGCCACCCTCGGACAGCTCTCAAATACTGGAAGGAAAAAAGTCTGGCTTTAATTTGTCTGGGTTTGCTGGGTTTCCTTTTATCTTCCACACTGTTTAGAGCTTAAATGTGGCTAAAAAAAGGGGCATTTTTCACACTGGCTGCATTTACATCTGCAGAAGTGGAAAATACGGAGGGAATACAAGGGAATCCTCGAGCTCTAACACAAACTTCCCCTAAGGAGCAGCAGAAAAATCTAAGGAAATTTGCTGAAAAGGGCTATTTTTGAGTGGCTGGGCAAAATCAGTGTGCAAGAAGAATAAAATCGCCGCTTTAAGCTGAGAACAAAAGTTTTGTAGGAAGTCAAAAGAATTCATCCAATTTCTTAGCAGCAACCTGTGAAAATTTCCGACAGCCTTTGGTCTGTAAATCCATCACCACAATGCAACGTGGACAGCAGGTTTGTCTAGCCACGTGGAATGGTGAAGAACTACAAAAAAGACTAAAAAGTCTGGATTTATGTTACATATTTCACTTCCCTCTGCAAAGAGAAGTGAAACTGAAGTCAAAAGCAAAGGCGACACATGTTCGTACGAGTTCCTTGAAGCTGCCCTGCCTCTAGGCCAGAGCAATTAGAGATTCCAATTTCACATCTCCGCTCGAAGATGGCAAACAGCTGCGCCGTTTGCACCGTCAAACATCTGATCGTGTCCTAAAAGGAAAGGCTGCCTTTCCCTGGAGCTTAGAAATCACATAAAATTATCAAAAATAAGTAAATCGGAGAGTTCAGCGGGCTTTTCCTTAGCTAAAAAGGCTGGAGGATTCGTGACTCTGGTCAAGGTGTGCAGTCAAACACTGCAAGTGCAAGAATGCCTCTCTGGTGGCACTTTATATTCAGTAAACAAGAGCCAAAAAATGTGCATTTAACTAAAACTCCAGAAAATGCAGGTTTGGGGCCGAAAAGAAATAAAACGATGCAGATATGTTCGTGGGAACGGGTTTTGAGGCTGTTATCAGCCTCAAACAGAGGCTGCTCTACAAAGGGGCCCTGGAGATTCCTAGAAAGAGGCGACGTCCCAGGTGACCTTCGGTTGACGCTCCCCCTTAGGGGCACGAGGGCACCCACCGAGTCCTTCTTGCGGGAGCGCTCCTTCTTCATCTTGCCTCCCGCCGCTCGGATGCTGACCCGGTTCTCTCCGCCGAGGTAGCCGCGGCAGTTGGCTGAGCCACAGAAACACTTCTGGGCCTCCTTGCTGTCCACGGGCACAAGAAACACAGCAGTTTAGTACCAGTTCAATCATAGGCTCCATAAAGTCGTTTCTTTAATCTTTAATCTAACTTTAATCTAACTCTTAAGGGTCTCATGGTCTTGCCGTGAGGAAAGATCATGCAGAACCACCTCTTCTCCCTCCTTCCCCTTAGTGTCCAACGTCTGCTAAGGAAAACTGCCTTTCACAGACCACCAGGATAATATAATGGGTTGGAAGAAGGCCTGCCTTGTATTGCTCCACACACAAGAAGGAACACGGTGCAGATCCATGGATGCAGTAAGAGACTGAGGTGGAAGACTTCCTTTCTAGCATGGATATACAGCAGTGGACAAGAGGAGAGAGTTTAGAAACTCCAGTGAGATGGGGAATATTCTCGCTGAACATGAGCTTTTAAATAAACTAATATTGCAAATCAATTCTCCATCAGAGAGGCTCCTAACAGGCCCATAATCCTAAACGCTCATGGTTTTGACTGAGCCCAAGTAATCTAGACGTGACTGCGGTTACGGTGTATAGATTGGCTTGCAAAGCAGATCTACCTCCCTCCTAAGTGCCTCTGTCTTCTGGCTCACACCACAAACACTGCTTGGCCTTCTAATAAAGAACAAAAACCTGTGGCTCCCCTTCCATGGTGACATTCTGGGATCAGCTCCTAACAAACCGACTGGAAGCTCAAGGCCAACTCAGCTGCTGAAAGGCACTTCAGAAGTCACAGTAAATGGAAGAAGGAGCCACCAGGGCTTTTTCCTAGGAGACCATGTGTAAGATGAGTCTGCCCTACAGAAGTTGATGGATCCAGCACATCTCATGTCTTGGCATGGGAGAAGCAGCTTCCAGAGGGACCTCAGTCTTGGTCAAGAGCAGAGGGACCCCAAAAAAGCTGCTTGGACTGGGGCACCTTATGTTTCGCTGCCCCAGTCCAGGCAGACAATTCCCACGCAGGGAACAAACTGAGTCAGAAATCAGAAGCCATCTGTTATCAAAAATAAATAACATTTTAAAAGGTCAGCGCCTCATTAATATTTGTGACCTGAAGCTACATGAGAGCAGCTGACACGTAAATGCAAGTAATTTTATAATGCAACTAAAAATTCATTCCTGGTTCTTCAGCTTACAGAGAGAACCCTGCTGCTGGAGAGGGCAGGATCCAGAAGGGAAGTAAGAACAACTTGTTAAACAAGGCTGTTCAGCAAGAATAGCTTCTTTCTTTGTATAATTACGAAGAAATGCTGCATAATTATAAAAAAATGGCTCTAGAATTAAGCTACGGGTTGCTTCAGACTGTCAGAATCTAGTTGGAGCTAATCACGTGAAAAAGAGAGGCGAGAGAAATATTCCACCAAACGCCTCAACGGGCAGGAATATAAAATATTCCACTCTTAAGCTCGGAAAGGAGAGCTGAGGAGGGAATGCTTAGGAAAAGGAAAAATCAACTAAAGCTACAAAGCCCCCACCGTAGCTCTCAGAGGTGCTGCAGTGAGATAGGAAGAAGCCACACGCTACCTGCTAGGTTTTTACAGCTCCACAACTATTTGCAAAGCCGTAAAATCCCGGTGGGCACGGAAGGAAGGAGGAGTGTAACTCAAGGGTCACTACAAAGCCAGGAGCTGGGGCCATTAATAATTAGACAGAGGAAAGCAGGAGGCAAGATAATTATCTGGGAAACTTCCATGGGGCAGAGGATGGTATGAAGGGGGAGAAAAAACCCATAAAGTGCAACTGGGAAAACGTATAAATTCAACAGAAAGCTCCCAATCTTTTGCGTTAGAAATAAACTTTATCCAAACGGCTTTGTTTTTTTTTTTTAAATAGGTGAATTCCAGCTCGTTTGCAACTGCTGAGCATTAGATGAGGTTTTCCAACAGTGCGTTTTGCAACGGGATTTCCTCACGGCGTCCACGCTTCCCAAATGCCCCTTGTGGAAATGGGGAGCCCAGCGGCGGGACGTACCCGTATCTCTGAAACTGGTAGTCGAACGTCAGCTCGGAGCCCGACGGGACCAGCTTGGTGGTGAAAAATCCAACCCGGAGCTGCCCGTTCACAGTCCACTGCAGCGAGGGAAAAACAGGGTTAACAACAGTCATTGCAACAGCCGGGCCCGCGGACACGGCGCGCGCGTTAAGGACACGGATCCCTCGGAAAAGCGGCCGGAGGGAATTGCAAATTTGCAACGGGAATCACCAGTGCTCGCCCATTTCAAAGGCGGCTGTTTGCATCGGCCTAAGGAGTTGAAAAAGGGAAGAGGGGAAGGAAAAGCAGGAGATAAAGATGAAGGAGCAGCGCGTTTCGCTGGGGGCTTTGATCCCGCGTTTACCTTTTGTGTCTCGCAGTTTGGTTCACAGCTGTGGTTCATAAAACGAGAGCAGTTTCCTTTCTGGGTAGCATCTATTATCTAAAGAGAAAAGCAAGAGCAAACTGAGCAAATTAGGCCTCCCTTGGGCTGCCTCCCTCTGCGCCCATGTTGTATTATCAAGGTGAGGGGCACCACGGTGATCACCCTTTCCATCTCCAGCTAGCAGCTTTATTTGGTTTGCAGAGCGTGGCTTTTGTAGTGGTAAAAGTGCCCCAAAAATAAAGGAAATGCCATGAAACTGTTATGCAGGCTCTGCTTCCTGTTACAGGTTGGGAAAATGTTCCTCAGTTTAGGTGATTCTTGACTTTTGAAGGGCAGTTTTCAACCCTGTGATACACTGAACACAGTGAACACTTCTGCCACGCAGATAAAGGATCATTTTGGCCAGGATAATTCTGCCCTCCCTGCCACAGCCGGGTGAAATATTCCCCTGCACCCCCTTGTGACTGCACAACAATCCCACGGGCAGCTGCAGAAACCACTTCCTTGCAGGAAAAAATAGGAAAAAAACCCCAAAAGGATTTGGAGTATTTTAAGTGATTTTACTCTAAAGATATCAAGACACCCAAAAAAACCAAAGCAAGCAGAAAGTGGTATTAAATTTCTACTTCTTCATATGCCTCTCGGCGAGGTAGGGCCCACTGCTCAGGACAGGCAGCTCGGCACATCCCTGCACTTGCAGCTACAGAATTCAGTAGATCTGAAATAGCTGGAGCAGATATAAATAATGAAGAACTCGGGGTACATAAATATTTCAATGGCAGTACACCGTACAGAGCGATTCCAGCAGGCCGATTTAAGATGGTTCTGTGAGCAGAGCAAGGGAATTTGGTTGCTCATGGACATGTTTTCTGGTTCCCTGCAGTGTCCAAGCAGGGCGAGTTCAATGGGAGGCGTTTACCCAGCTGGGACACAGATGTGGCTTTGCTGCCACGTGGAAGGGGTGGGCCCGTGCTCCATCCCTTCCCTTGCTGGGGACACTGGCAGCATCTCCTCTCGGTTGGGCCACCTACCCTAAGGCAACGGGACACGGTCGAGCGTCTCCAAGACGTCTGATCAACCAGCTTGAAACCGAGGAAAGGGTCAAAAAACATGTGATATGACAACACAAGCCCTAAATTTCCTTTCCTCCACTTAAAATAGCTTCAGGAGAAGTCTATTTGACTTGAGTCACCAAAAAGTCACTTTCTAGGCCCAGTACCTTCAGGCCAAGTCAGCACTGCAGGTCACTAGGGCCAAGCTCCTCAGGGCCCCGCTCACCTCATCGTTCTTCAAGGCCATAAAATAATAGTGGATGTTCTTGTTCCGAGCATACTCCTTCACCCGGGCCTTGAATTCCTTGTGATCCAACACCTCTCCGCAATACTCCAACACAAACGTGTTCCTGCAAAGCCCAAGGGGAAAGAGCGTTGAGTGCGCTTAGTAACACACAGAAAACACTGAGAAAACTATTGGTTTTGACACCAGCTCTCAGAATGGTTTTGCAGTCTTTTGTTACAGCCTGGATTTTTATATTTAGCACAGCCTTCCTTAACCATTTTAACCCCCCAAATTAACTTCTTTTTTGACACTATCACAAGAAGAAAATGAGGAGTGTGAAGAGAATATGGACCGGCAGGTTGGTCTCCTAAACTGATGCAGGAAGTCTGTCTGCATCCTGCTGATCTGGTGGGTGAACTGAGGAGTTAATGAAATATCCTCCCTAACCCTAGGAAAGACAAATGTGAAGCCAGAGGTGGAAGAGAGCAACTTCTTACCCACAAACACTCAGGAACAGCAAAGGGACAACTCCTGCATGGCATTCAGCCCCTCGTGAGTGTTGTGGTTGCCCTGGAGCCCATCCAGGGAACCATGGAACCACAGAAGGGTTGAGGTCAGCAGGAACCGTTGGAGATCACCTGGACCAACCTCCTGCTCCAGCAGGTCACCTAATACATGTGGCACAGGGTGGTGTCCCGGTGGCTTTGAACCTCTCCAGGGAAGGAGGCTCCACAACCTGTTCCAGGGCTCTGTCACCGCCAAAGTCAAGAAGTTTCTCCTCATATTTAGGTGGAGCTTCCTCTCCAGCCTACATTTATAAACTCTTCCCCTACCTCCATGTCCACCAAGCAAGGCACCTGTCCTGCTAATCTGCTCCTCCAGCTGTTGACACAGCCTCATCTTTCTCGTGCCACCTCTTGTAGAGCAGATGGAGCCTTCCCAAGTCTGCATATACCGACCATCAACATAAAGGTGTCACCAACACTGTTGCTCGAGACAAACAGAAACCAGCCCAAAGTGCTGACCACAAATCTCCAAGTCTAACAAAGAACATCAGAACATCATGATGGTGAGGAGCACTGAGCTAGAAACACCTTCAAATGCTCATTAGAGGGGACTGACCTTCCTCTGGGCATACAATCTCCACCCTTTATCAGTCTTTGTGATCTTCTCATGGTGGGACAACTAACCAGAGAAGGTTGTCCTCTCCTAGAACAAGCTGCAGCTCCTCTGCAATTTCCTGCTGCTCTCCAAACCTTTTTCCAAAGGAGATTTTTCGGAAGGGTGCATGCAGAAAGATAAGCAATATTCCAGGCAGCACCAAGCATCAGGTCTCCACATCAAGCTGGTGGGGAGCCATATCCAAACGCCTTGACATTTATGGGCCAAATTCAACGGAGAGTTCTGCAGACCTTGCCTTCCCAAGCAAGAAAGCCACAACCAGCCAACCTAACAACAAGCAACAACGTCAAATAAAAACGGGTCTCTCAAGTCTATACGGGGCAGCAGCAGGGCCGCTTCTGTGGCCAGCAGTGCTGCTTCACAGCCTTAAACCTACAACCCTACCCCAAGGAGAGTCAAAAAAATCACTTTTTGACAGATTTTTGTGATTTTTTTGACAAAAACTCACCAAAAAAAAAAAAAAGATTTTTTTTTGTCTTCAACAGAAGAAAAAACAAACCTGAGTTTCCAGGGAAACACTATGAAAAATCCTGCATTGCACTGGATATTTTTGCAGTCAAATTTGAGCCCGACTGCCCGAAATCTCGCAGAGTTTCAGGTGCTTGAGGCTGAGCAGACCCATCGCGCCCTCCTACAGCCCTTGGGAGTGTAAATGCCACAGAGGCCGGTGAAACCCGGGGCACGTCCCCATGAGACGCTTCCACAGCTACCTATCCAAGTCCCTTGCTGCTCATCTGCAGGTCCTGTGCGGATCTGCGAAGACACCCAGACCATCTCAGAGCAGCTAGAACATGTTGCCAAGACCATCATGAGACAACACCAGCTTGGTGGCCCATCTACCCAGCTGCCAAAGAAGGCATTCCCAGCTTAAATCCTGCTCCCACCACACCTAGGTCATAGCACTATTGTCCTGTTATGATCTTCCTTCCCAGTGACACTCACTTTCTAGCAAAATAGCCTCAGGACAGGGCTCTAATTCCCTCAAAAATGGTACCTAGACTGTCACCAACCTGGGAGGAGGCCTATGGGCTCTGAAGTGGTTCATTCTTGGGTCTGGGCCAGCCAGCTCCTTCATGGCCAGAAACGCTAGATTAAGGCACAGAGCCAAGCCTAAGGAGTTTGCACACAAAGCATTAAATGAGGATAGTTTCATTAACCTATAGTTTTTTTGCACAAGTTGGTTTAGCTAAATGGAGACACACCAAGAACTGACTCAAATCTGTAGGCACTGCTGATGCAAAGCTACCAGTTAGAAGCACAGTAGTTGTGCTTCTAGACCACGGAAGACCAGAAGATCTCCATGGGCTCTTCATCAACGGAGCAGGAGGAAGGCTCACAAGAGGGTAAATTCCACAGAGGTGGAGAGAGGAAACACAAAAACATGGTTTCTGTAGAGCAACGCAACAGAGAAACGCAGGGAGAACACAGAGCAAGCCCAAGTTGAAGCTAAGCCAAGGCCACTACCCAAACCCTCCTGAAAGGAGGTGGCCACACAGTAAAGCCAGAGTGGGAGATCAAATACAAAATCAGAGGATATGTACGTGCAGATAACTCAGGTAAGAGCGTGAGGATAACGTATAAAACTGGAGAAAATTCAGTTAATCTGCTCATGTCAATGAAATAAAGAAAATGATGGCAATTTTTTTTGCACGATGAGAAGGTCATCTGAAGAGCAAACGCTTACGATGGGAGATCTTTGGCAGCTCTGAGCCCCCAACCTTTCTTCTCAGTGAGGATCACTTCAACATCCGCGTGCTGTTTCTTCTGGAACCGCCTGTTGGAACAGTAGTCACCATTGGGGCACCTAGAAGAACTGAGCGAAGGAAAAGGAACAGATCAATTCCCAGCAGGACGAGCTCAGATGGGAAACGGAGAAAAAGAAATGGTAATAAATTCAGTGTAAAACTATCAAGCATGTTTTGCTATAAAAAGTAAAAGCATCTGACTGCCAGCATGCAAATGCAGACAATTTATTTTGGGAAGGAAGATAAAACACTTTCCATCTGAAGGCCACCATACTTCTACGCCATGAAACTAAAATGGACTAAAATGGCCTCTTCTCTTCACGTTTTGATGGTTTTTTCCCAAGAGACCTCCCCTTGCTTTGCCTCTAGGGCAAAGCAAAGGACAAAGTGGAGGGTGGCTGCCAAGTTAATTTCTTGCCTTCCACCCCAGCTGGTCCCAGGGCTCCTGCCAAGGAGAAGATCCATTGACCATTGGGGCCCTCTTTGTGGATCAACCCACACAGACAGGCAGGGCAAAGAGAAATGCGACAACTTGGTGCCGCTGCCTGGGACAGCAGTGGCTTCACCCAAGTCCCCCGAGGCCACCAAGCCGTCAAGGGGTGGCACTTACCACTCTATCATAAGCAGCCGATTGAGACAGTCCTCGCCACAGGCGACCTCCCCTTGGGCTCGCTCTTCTTTGGAGAGAGGAGGGCACTCGCACAGCATTCGCTTGATATCCCGGTGAGATTTGTTCTTCTTCCTACATTGAGCACAAATTGGGCTACAGGTTAGGCAGGGCTTGGACACAGAAATGCCCCTCGGTCTTCATCTGTTGTTCCTGGAGGCAACTCAGCTCCTCCTTAGAAGCTGAGCAGATGGGGCATGGTTGGACAGCCGCGCAAGAAGGTCCGAGGGCAGCCAAGGAGACCCTGCTGGTTTGCAGGTGCAAAGTGGTGGCTTTCTGAGGACACCAGATGATTTCTAAGACCTGCCAGAATAACTGGGCGCCATCTCCCCAGCGCACACAACCCAGGTCTGCTTCCAGCATCCACGTGTACGTATGTACACAGATACAACAAAGGAAGGACCTAAATCCCTTCACTTTGTCATATAAGAACTGAATTTCCAGAAAAGTCCTAATTTTATAGGGAGATGATTTCTTGCCACACAGCACCACAGAGCTTGTTTCAACGGATAAATTTTTCACTATCCTCTCTTGAAATACTTTACTCCATACTAGTGCATACTATATTCTACAGTATTCTATATTCTATGCCAGTTATAACAACATACAGGGACAAACTCCAGAAGCCCGTTCCAATCTCAGCCATTCCCTAATATTTCCCTTCTTTCCTCTGGTTCACAAGCCAGGAGAAAAATCGTCTAAAATCTTCTAAAAGATCTTCTAAATATTAACGTCTTCAAAAATATTTGCACATAAACCACATACAACTTGAAAAGTGTGTTTTGTTTAGAACAGGAACTCAGGGGTAAGGGGTCTATACACAGGTCTATATACTCTTAAACTTAAAAGACATTTTGTGCATTCTCAAGTGAAGTCAAACACTGCAACTGAAGAGGAGCCTGAAGAAGTGCTCAAGACTTGTGAGCGATATCCAAAGGGGAGATATGTTCTGGGGAAGGCTGAAGGTGGTTCAACTTTGAAGCAATACAATTACTAGCCATTTCTAAAGCTCAAAAAAAGTGTGTTTTTCCCCCCCAAAATCATATCCTGTTCAATATTCCCATGGAAAAGACTAATACCCTTCCCATGACCTCCCATCTTTCACTTTTCCTCCCTTTTTTGTGTGTCTGGGAGGCAAGACTCGGTGGGGTTCACAGCACTCGTCCGGTAGCGTCTCCTCCTCTACGGACAACCTGGTAGACGTTGGCCATGCAAGAGTCTTCCCTACCCACTCTCACTGCTCTACTAACTGCCCATTTGGAAGAAAACTAAATAAAAATATATATAAGCTGATATCTAGAAATGCTAGGGGTGAAAAAAATAGTTAAAAAAAAAAAAAAAAAAACAATAAATAAATGAGTTACCTTTCTGTCAAGTACACGTTTTCCTCAATCAGGTCGAAGTAGCAGGGCATTTTCCCTTGCTTGGCAAACTCCTTCCAGCGCTGCGGGTCTCTGAAGTCTTCCATGATACACAACCGGCCAACCATGGAGGAGTCCTGCGGCGAAGAATCCACTTGCTCCCCCTCTGATTTTACCTTCTTCCTCTCCCGTGCCTCTCCATCGCTCTCGGAGTCGCTCTCCACCTCCTGGCGCCTCTTTTTGGGTGGCCCTCGTTCCTTCAGGTCGTTCTTCTCCAAGGCCTTCACCTCCTCCTTCTTCTCACCGACGGCGCCGGCCTCCTTGGTGGAATTACTGCTGATCTCATGTGCCTGCACGGAACCTTGTTCCCGCTCCGCGGGGCCATGGAATGTGCCCGACGGGCTGGGGAAACGAGCCTTGCAGTCGTCATCCCAGCGGTCGTCCTCGTCCTCCTCGTGATCCTCCGTCAAGGAATCCGGGACTTGCCCTTGAGCTCGCTCATAGCTCATCCCAGAAGGCCGGCTCGCGGATCTGGCATCCCAATATCCATTGCCCTGCCAGTAGCTCTGCGAGGCGCCGTAGGCTCCCGCCCCGGGCTGGAGAACGTAACCCGGGTAGACCCCCAAGCTGCTGTCGGGCTGCTGGTAGGTGCTACTGGGCTTCTCCGGCTGGGAAAAGTCCCAGCCGAAACCACCCAAATCCTCCGCCGCATGAAAACCGTCCACCCTGGAGAAGTCTCCGGTTCCCAACTGATTAAGCCCCCCCTTCCCTTGCCTACTGTCCGGTTTGGAAGAACTCGTTTGGGTCTGAGGTTTGTCGGGACCTTCGAAGCTCTCGGGCAGACAAAAGGTCTGCTCTTCCTGCCGGCCCACCAGCTCCTTTAGGATCATCCTCTGCTCCGCGTCGCCTTTTCCGTTGGAATCCGCCGCCAGGTCTGCCTGGCTGGTGCTGTCGACACCGTCGCTCTGCGGCTGGGACGCGTCCACGCGCAGCTCCTCCGCTTCCTTCCTGCTCAGCTCCGTGGATGTCGCGGGGCTCTTGTCCGTCCCGCGAGGAGAACATCTGCTCTCCGCTTGCGGCCCGTTCTTACTCGCCGCGTTCTCCGACCTCTCCTCGTAGTACGGCCGGCTGGACTCGGGCCGCTCGTCGTCCCAGTGGTCCGAGTAGCGCCTAAGCCCCTGGCCGCCCCGAGACGAGCAGGGGCTGCTCTCCTCCGTGGCTATGGTGGAGTTTTTGGGCACCACCACGATGGACTGGAGCCGTTTCCGTGGCACGGCGTCATCAGAATCCGAGTCTTCCGAATCGCTCTCCTCGCTGCCGGCCTCGCTCTCGCTCTCGGCCGTGTCCGAACAGCCGTCGTGGCCGGCGGAGACGCCCTCGGAAGCGTTGCCGCTGCTGTCGCACGTCGCCGCTTGAGCGACCGTTTCTTCCGCCGTGACCACGAGGTCGCAAGACGGATACAAAGCTCCCGAAAAAGCCGAGGCCACCACGGACTCATTCCCTTCGTCCCTCTCCAGGAATATGCCGAGACGCTGCTCATCCGAGCCCGCTCCTCCGGTAGAAACGGCACCTTCTGCTGCTGCTCTCTGCCTGCTCCGGTGTTCCAGGGGCACTTCGGAATAATACGAGTGCTCATCTTGGAATGAGGGCTTTGCTCTCGCCGAATGAAACTCAACGTGCTGGCTACCCAACTCCTGCACCTCTTCGCCTTCGGAAAGCTGCAGCAGCTTCTCGCCTTGATCCGGCGGGGCCCGATCCCACTTGGAAGCGACCCCTTCGTCCGGCTGCTGCGGAACGCCGGGATTGTCCGATTTCACCCTCAGGGAACACCCGTCCTGGGAGGAATCTCTGCTTGAGCTATCCACTGCCAAGCTAAGGCGATGGGAAGGATCCACAGCATCCCGCTCGTCTCCGCAGGCTGCCTTGGAATTCTGCTCCTCCGTGCTCTCGTAACCGCACGTCACCGTTTGCGGCTCCACGGGAACGTCCAGAAAAGCCTCCGAGGTGACTCTGACATCCGCCGCCTCCACTTCAATTTCGACCTCCGAGTGACACAAGGGAGGGGCGGCAGCCTCCGAAACGTAGCAAAAAACGGCTTCTTTGGTTGCGTCGCGCGGAGGCGCCTCCTCATCCGGCTTCCTAAGCCAAGCTGGGCATCGATCCCCATTCCCGAGGGGCAACGGCGCGGCCTCCCCTCTCTGCTCCGCGCCGGGAGCCTCCGCCGCTTTCCAGAGGCTGCTGCACTCGCTGGACTCCACGTGGGACCGGCCCCGCTCCTGCTCCCCGGCTGCAGCCGGGCTCTCGGAGCCGTTGGAGGGCAACGCACACAAAGCCCCGCTGTTCCCCGCGGCGGCCGCTTCCCACCGGCACGGCTCGGAAGAGGCCGCAGCGGCCTCCGCTTTGGAGGCGCCGCACGTCGCCGAGTCCTCACACCTACCTTCAGGGGACCCGTTTATATCGAGGTCCACGGGCAAGTAAGTTCTTAACGGGTCCTGCTTTATCAGCGTCTCCTGTTCCTTAACACTGGCATGGCATTCGTTTCCTATGAGGTCGCCAGATTTGGCGTTAGAAAACCCATCTTTTGGCTCATCTGCCTTTCTAAAAGCGGGCGACTCGTTTAATTGCCTCACCGGAGAAAGTGTCTTTTCCCTTTCCAACTTTTTTGCAAGGGCCGGTCTCGCCTCGCCGCTCCGTAGGCAAGAGGCCTCTAAATCTAGAGAATTAGACTGCTGCTTTAGTTCTTCATTCGATTCTGCACAACAGAAAGAGCTTTTCAATTTTTCAGGCTTTGGCGCTGGGGTCTTTGAAGGGGTGGACTTATAGCGGGAGGAATTCACATTACTGTCAGGTTTAGAATGGGATGTCCCCTTTCGGTAGCCTAAGTCGCTAAGGGGAGAGCACCTTTTGGGGGCTTCGCTTTCCGAAGTCCTTTTGGGATCCCTGTCTGCTTTGGAAGAAGACTTCCCTCTCCTCTCCGCCTCGTGGGACGACTCCGTTTTGCCGTCCCGGTCCGACTTGGAGTAGGACGTCCTCGAGTCGCGGTAGGAGGAGGAGTGGGAGGACGTGCGCCTCGCGTCGCCCGCCCTGGAATGCGTCCTCCTGTACTCCTCCTCGGAATCCGAGCTCTCCCGCGCCCGGCTCTCCGCGTACGAGCGCGAGTACCTCGTCCTCTCCCTGTACGGCGAGCTCCGATGGTAGCGCCGCTCGGATTCGTAGTAGTGCGAGCGCTCCGACCTCGAATAGGAAGAGCTGGTGCGGGAGCTCCGCTCGGAGCGGGAGCGCGAGCGCGAGCGGCTCCGTCTCCTCTCCCTGTCCGACCTGGAGCGGGACGACCCATACCGCGAGTCTCGCTCCGATTTGGAGTAACCCGAGTATTTTTCATCCCGCTCCGACTTGGATCGCGAGGAGGACTTGCCCAGCTCTTCGCCCCTGAGAGAAGTGGAGCTTCTTCTGGAATCTCGCTCCTTTTCCGTGCTCGATATCTTCGGCTCGTGCGACCGCTGGCTGGAGGAAGTCCTCACAGAATCCTCGTCGGATTCAGAGCCGGGGACGGGGCCGTCGGACTGGGAGAACTTCCTCTTCGAAGCCTGTTTCCTAGAGCACAGGGAAGCACCCTTGGAGCTGTCCGAAACTTCATCCTCTCTCCCAATATGGGAATCTTCCTTCGGGGGGGTTATTTCCGCCTGCACGAGCGCGTTTTGAGCTAAATGTTCCTCGGAACTGTGCAACACAGCGTCCTGCCTAACGTCCACATCCGAAGCTTCCTTCGGGACCGCGCGACACGGCTCCTTGGAAGCGGGGACCTCGGCCTCCGCAGGCGGCGACAGCAACAGCGTCGACAACAACGTCACGGGCAGCGGGGACAAGGCTGTCGCGGCAGGAACGGGCGCGGATGCTGGTGGTGACACCGTCGGCACAGGCGGCGGCGGCGGCGTTGACGGGAATTCCGCGGCCACCGGTTCCGTCACCGGCGCCACGGCCGGCGGTGGCGGCAGCGCGGCCACCGGTTTCGCCGTGACGTTAAGCAAATGCTTCTTGAAATGGATCTTCCCCAGCTCTACCTTTGGCTTCGGAGGCGAAGACTCTTCAGGAGCACCAGGAGCGTCCCCCAGGTCCATTCTGATTTTGGGGTTAAAGTCAGCTTGAAGCGGGGCTGCCGGCGAGGGCGGCGTGTCATTTTGCTTCTCGTTTCCGAGAGCGGTCAGAAACCTATTGGGCAAGGTTTTCTTGGTTAAGCTGAAGCTGAAGGACACCTTCTGTCTTCCCTGCTCCTCGAGGTTAACCTTCGTTTTGGTGCCTTTGGGCAGAAAGCGGCTCGAAGCAACCCCTTTGAAGAGCGGCCCTTTGATGAAGCCAGCCTTCGGCACGGTTTCCGTCTTGCTCTGCAACGAAAAAGGAGCAGGGGCCGTTAGGGGAACGAGCAGATTGCTTTTTAAAACCCTCCCCTGCAGAAACATTGGATAATCTTTCTTTTCCTCGGAATTTTTCATGCCAATAAGCTAGAAATTGGTATCGGTGGCTCAAGGGGGAGCCCAGTGACCTTCTGCGCCTGTCTCTGCTAGGACCCAATTCAATGGGATGATCGTTTGGAGCCCTGAGCGAAACTTCCCTTGGGATTTCGGCCCTTTCCTCCCTTGTTGGTGACTCAACCAAACCTTCTCAGGTTTCTTTCTTTCTTACAAAAAAAGATGGGATTCAACCTATGAAGTTAACTGAGGCCGCAGCGCCGCTTTCCCCCATCGGGTTTCTGTGGTCCCAAGTGACAAAACATCCCCCCTGACACCGAGATGCCCTCGTGTGGACACGGAGCAGGTTGAGGGCACCAGGGTTATCAAGGAAAGAACCTCTTCCCTTATGGAATGTGCTTAGAAAGCCTGAGATCAGCCACTTCCAGAGCACAGGATATTTACTTGTCGTGGCGCTTGTCCCGTTGGTTGAAAACTGAAGATTTGTCTTTGCAAAAGCTTCCTCGCTATCCACACCAGCAGAGCAAGCCATTGGCAAGGACAAACACCTGCAAAAAAGGTGTTTCTGGCAATATTCCCAATCCTACCTGCATTAGCTCTAATTGCACTTTGTCCATGGAGCACGCTCTGGACGAGAGGAGCTGCGCGGTCTACAAACCGTATAGAGCAGAGCTTTGGGCTCATAACTACTGCATGAAGACATCCTTGGCAGCACGAGCGGCTTCCTGCAGCCCACTGTGAATTATCGGGCACTTTGTTATCCTTTAACTTCGCTGAAACAATGCGGAGCTGCTAAGGCTGAAGGCTTGGTGGTAAATTATTAAATAAGTCGTTTGGGGGGGATGAAAACCCCATCCCATCTTATTTGCACCCTCAGATGCCACTTATATAAGATTTTGCTTTCTTTCCTTTGGTAAAATGCCTGGGTTTATTAAATTTTGAAGAGTAACACGTCCCGGGCTGCATGTGACCGAATCCTGGCCAATCAGCCCGGTATCACACGCACTTCCCATCATCAGGAATGGGGGTTAACTGCATTTTGGGGGAGGAAAAAGAAAATCTGGCTCCTTTTAGGTATTTCTGAAAGGGCATGCACGGCACAAAGAGGGACCTTGCAAAAAGCGTGTGGCCAAATGCTGCAAAACCGCCTTCCCTGCACTCCTGTTCCTCTGGGAAATACTGTACCTGTTTTCAATAGGATCCGCGTATCATTTTTTAAACCTTAACTAATGCACAAGGGTCTGAAGCACTGCGGGCAAAAAAAACCCGTTTCCCCCTCAATTTACATGTAGTTCTTGGGACCCTGTAGCAGCAAGAGCTCAGGTTTCTACTGTCCCAAATATCCAGATGTCCAACCCAAACTGCAACACAAAAGTGCATCTGACTCCAAATTTGCATTTCCCCACTGTAGCACCTACACAACCGACACATAAATATGAAAATACAGAGCATCAGTAGGAAAAGCTTTCCCAAAAACTTCCATGAAAGCTTTTGGGGAGCTTGGATACATCCCCCCATGTGCAAAACACATGCATGAAGGGCAGACAGAAGCTCCTATGGATCCAACCGTAGGATTTGGGGGCTTTTTATGTGCTGCATAGGAAATATTTCCCCCCTGTATGTTCACCCAGGGATTTTTTCCCTGAAAAATACCAAATTCCTGGAGCTCCAAGGGTTCCAAACCCCTTGGAGGAGGGTTCCTGCTCCAAGCAGGACGTCCCTCCTGCAGCTCCCCGTTTGCCATGAACAGAGGTTGTCCATGGACCATGACACCCAATGCAGACTACGGTCCTAGAGCAGCACAGATCACCAGCAGAAACCATTGCCACGCTGGGAAGTTCCAATAATTTCCGTCTCTTGGGTTTTCTCTTGGCCCGTTACCTTTGCTGCCATGTGGGAATTGCAAATATCCAAGAAAACCCGTAGCTCTGAATAAGCAAGCTGGGCCAAAGCGCTGCTCAACAGGGAATAAAAGAGGGCTGGTTTTCACTCACCTCGTTTTCTTCTTCTCTATTGCAATCCAGCCGAGAAGCCATGCAAAAGAAAACACAAAGAGAAGGTGTCAAAATGGAGCGGGAAGGAGCACGGCCAAGGAGAGGCCCCCTTTTCCAAGGAATTTCCCTCCTTAAGGCTTTCCATCCAGGACAAGGGCGACGCGGGAAAGGATTCCCCCTAGACAAGGGCCCATCCGCACCCATTTCCCCAACAATTCCAACAATTGTCACCCAAGAACGAGGAGCAACCTATGGGGCAGTCCTGCCACCCGGATGCCTCTCCGGGGCACCCAATAAATTAATTGGTTATAAATTCTATAAATTATGGGGACGAGAAGCAGTCTCAGCCTGCAGACAGTATCTCAGGTGGTCTCCAAGGGCCGGTTGCTCCTCAAAACGGCCCCCAAACCCACCCCGGGTCTGCAGCGACTCCACGTGCACCCAAAACCCAACGCAGGGGGTCCCTAAAACAGAGGGAAACGTAGCAGGGCGATGACGGCTCCATCTGCTCGACGGCGGTTGCGCATCAAGTTGCACATGTCCCCCCAACACACAACCAGCCCTTAGGAAAAGAGGAAAAAAGTGCCTTTTTCTCCTCATTTTCAGCACCTCTGGTACTTCTCCTCTGTCCTCCAGGCTTTGCTTAGGCTCGAAAAGCCGGAGGGCCCCGAGGCGCCGCATGACAAATGCTGCGGGACAAAAACGTTGGCTTCTTTTAAAGAGATAAAAATCTGGAGGCTGGAAGCTCTCCAGAGCTGAGCACCGGCAAGAGAGCTTAAAAAGCCCAATTCTGGTCTTAAAAAGCCTGAATCTGGTCTTAAAAAGACCAAATCTGGCCTTAAAAAGCCCAATTTTGGTCTGGAAAAGCCCGATTCCTGTCTGAATCCGGTCTTGCTGGGAGCTGAGGCACCAAGGCGGCCCAGGGGCCGTGCCCAGGGCGCTGCAATGAAATTTCTTTGGGAATTGGGGAATTTGGGGAAAGGGGAGCAAATGCGCAACCCAACTCTTGGAGCTGGGCATTGGAGAGGAGGAATCCGGCGGGTCGGAGCGGAGCAGGGACAGCAGCAACGACGCCGGCGGCCGTAGCGGCTCTGGATTCCCATCTACGAGAGACACCCCCGAGAACTGATTTAATTCACAAAAATCAGGGCTAAGCCATGTGGGAAGGAGGTGGAATTAAATCGGGAACGATCCGGGGGGGAAATCCTCAAGCTGCAGCAAAATCCAACGAGGGGAGACCCACGGTCCGGCCCAAAGGCACCTGCAGCCCCGCGGGGTTGAGTCCATTGGCGCAAAATAAAAAAGCAAATTCCATAAAATTTGTTGGAGGTCTGAAGTGGCAGCAGGCGCCGGGTTTCGCCGGTCTCCAATGCAACCGGCTAGAGACTAAAAACCAGGGCAAATGACTCCAAAATGCTATGATTATCCACAAGGAAGAGCAGTGCTAAGTTACAGCGAGGGGGTCCACAGCCGAGCACGGGGCTTTGGATCCCCCAATTTGTCCCTGCTTCCGAGCACAACAAATTCACCTGGGCAGCGGTGCCTGGGGAGGAAAAGCAGGAGAATTAATAGATAACCCTGTTCCTTCCCCAAAAAAGCAGCACCAGGAGGGAGGGCTACAGCCCCAGTAGAAAAAAAAAAGGGGGAAAATCCAAACATTTTACTTAAATGGAAGCTTGAAAGCCGGCCAAATTTCCCCAGAAAATGAGGCTAGTGCAGGCAGGAGCCTATACCTGAGTCGTGTTCCCTAAATCTGGCTTTCCATCCCCAGCTTCCCTTGGAACAAACATTTTTCTCCATTTAGAGTCATGGAGCTGAAGGGATGGGGAGCGAGACTGTTTCTCCTGTGCTAACACACACACACACACCCCCAAAAAAAAAAAAATATATATATATATATATA